CTCCTCCTCTCTCATGCTCCATGCACATGGTCATGCTCATGGTTCATAGACCATGGTCCAAAAGGAACGTGTCACATATTTCTGGCTGAGTCCACGGTCAGGGTGCCGAGCTATTGTGTAAACGCTCCGTAGAGAGCCACCAGCCGGAGAGTGGCTCAGCCGACAGCCCCAGGCCCCGGCGGGCCCAAGGTTCCACAACCAGAGACCGCCTAAGCACCTAAGCGGCCTAAGCGGGGGGGCGCTTAGGGTGCTTAGGTGCTTAGGTCGCCCTCGTGAGCGTAGCTACGTGCTGACATCATCATACGAGTGATCCTGAGTACCCACATGATGTGCCTGCCTATCGCTAAGCACGGAGTCGCGGCCTCACAACGCTCACGATCCGGTCGAATATCACACGCACGCACGCAGGGTGCCGGGACGGCTACATGTCAGCGTCGCATGCATCCGCCAGCGCTGCGAACTCCTTGTTCATCCGATTTTTGTACGCTTGCATCGCTGACTTGACCTCCTCCGCATCTACATGGTCCAGGAGATCGCCATCAAAGACCCAAGCTACAAAGTGGAAGCCGCAGTCGTCGGGACCACTGCCAAACCTGCCAGAGACAAGGTACTCCAAGCGCTCGTCGTCTTCATCGACAGGTTTCAGCGCCACCGCAGTCATCTGGCTCGGGTCACAGTAGCGCATGCCGAGCACCTCTTCAATCTCCAGCAAGGCTGCGTCTGTTGACCCGCCCGAGCGTTGGCGAGCGGCGGCAGAGCGCCGACTTCCCGCATGCAATCGCGAATATGGCAAGCCTTCTTGCTCCTGTCGTCGTTCCAGTACCAGCCGGCAGCTGCGTCTTCTTGCCGCATACGTCGCATCTATCCGCCCGCCGCGGAGGCACTGGACGACGACGGGGACGGTCGCAGCGGCTCGCTTTCTCAAGGATGATTTTACGCTTTTGGGGGGATCAAGTCGAGAGGAAGATCTCCGGATCTCGACAAAACCCCAATATCCTTGAGATCATCCACCTGTGAGGACACGATGCGCGGTCAGAGGCGTTGTCGCCGTACGCAGAGCGATGAGCAGTCACTGTGTGCGCGCGTCTAGAAAGATCTTGAGGCCCGGCAGCAGCAGCTGCAGCTCGCCCTTGATGACCCCGACGGTGTCTTGACCGGTCGACCTACATGGTTAGGGGTGGAGCTGGATCGTGCGGTCTGGATTCCAAGGGCTCGCGCACGGCCCGATGCTGAGCAGGCGCTTTCGCGTGTCGGCCGGCCGGGACGGGGGAGGTGCAGCAAGATTGGGGAGGGGTGGGGAGGGCGGCCTGCAGACAGCTAGAGCTTTGCTCGCAGAGGGCCGAACGGCGTGTCCGGAGGCACAAGAGCAGCATGTTGATGTTGTACGTGATGATGATGCTGATGCTGCTGGTGGTGGTGGTGACGATGACGATGATGACGATGATGACGATGGTGATGATGGTGATGAGGGACTCGTACCAAGCAGTCTTCTTGTCGATGACGGAGACGGCGAGGAGGAGGACGGAGAGGATGCAGGAGGAGACGCGCAGCACCGGGTCCCTGGTGATGACCAGGGTTGTGTGTGTGTGTGTGGGCTGTGGGGGGTGAAGGTAGCCGAAGGGCAGAAGGCTTGAAGGGGGGCGGCAAGGGAGGGAGGGGGGGATGGCGATCGCCTGTGCCCGGCAAAGATCAAGTCAGGCCTCAACGGGCATCGGGCCGGAGATGTGTGGAGGCAGGCGGGAATGCTGAGCAGGCGCCGGCCGGAGCGGGGGAGGTGCAGCAAGATTGGGGAGGGAGGGCGGCCTGCAGACAGCTAGAGCTTTGCTCGCAGAGGGCCGAACGGCGTGTCCGGAGGCACAAGAGCAGCATGTTGATGTACGTGATGCTGTTGCTGATGCTGCTGGTGGTGGTGGTGACGATGACGATGATGACGATGATGACGATGATGACGATGACGATGATGACGATGATGACGATGGTGATGATGGTGATGAGGGACTCGTACCAAGCAGTCTTCTTGTCGATGACGGAGACGGCGAGGAGGAGGACGGAGAGGATGCAGGAGGAGACGCGCAGCACCGGGTCCCTGGTGATGACCAGGGTTGTGTGTGTGTGTGTGGGCTGTGGGGGGTGAAGGTAGCCGAAGGGCAGAAGGCTTGAAGGGGGGTGGCAAGGGAGGGAGGGGGGGATGGCGATCGCCTGTGCCCGGCAAAGATCAAGTCAGGCCTCAACGGGCATCGGGCCGGAGATGTGTGGAGGCAGGCGGGAAGGGAGGCGGAAGACGATCGGGGGGGGGGGGGGGGGCGGGCTCGCCCACGGCCCGATGCTGAGCAGGCGCTTTCGCGTGTCGGCCGGCCAGGACGGGGGAGGTGCAGCAAGATTGGGGAGGGGTGGGGAGGGCGGCCTGCAGACAGCTAGAGCTTTGCTCGCAGAGGGCCGAACGGCGTGTCCGGAGGCACAAGAGCAGCATGTTGATGATGTACGTGATGCTGATGCTGATGCTGCTGCTGGTGGTGGTGACGATGACGATGATGACGATGATGACGATGGTGATGATGGTGATGAGGGACTCGTACCAAGCAGTCTTCTTGTCGATGACGGAGACCGCCATGAGGAGGACGGAGAGGATGCAGGTGGAGACGCGCAGCACCGGGTCCCTGGTGATGACCAGGGTTGTGTGTGTGTGGGTGGGCTGTGGGGGGTGAAGGTAGCTGAAGGGCAGAAGGCTTGAAGGGAGGGAGGGGGGGATGGCGATCGCCTGTGCCCGGCAAAGATCAAGTCAGGCCTCAACGGGCATCGGGCCGAAGATGTGTGGAGGCAGGCGGGAAGGGCTCGCGCACGGCCCGGTGCTGAGCAGGCGCTTTCGCGTGTCGGCCGGCCGGGACGGGGGAGGTGCAGCAAGATTGGGGAGGGGTGGGGAGGGCGGCCTGCAGACAGCTAGAGCTTTGCTCGCAGAGGGCCGAACGGCGTGTCCGGAGGCACAAGAGCAGCATGTTGATGATGTACGTGATGCTGATGCTGATGCTGCTGCTGGTGGTGGTGACGATGACGATGATGACGATGATGACGATGGTGATGATGGTGATGA